AGACGCCATGCTCCCAGCTCCCAGGCAGACGCATGCGATGAAGCTCCGACCCAGGATGGACATAGGCTAGAATCTTCCCGGTAAGACCGGTTCTCACAGATTATTAGAGATGGGTTGATCGGGATGTCAGAATTAGCCTGTAAGTGCTAGAGCTAAAGGGCCAAGCAGTGTTTAAAAGAATACAGTGTCCGTGTAATTATTTCGGGGCATAAGCTAGCCGAGCAGGCAGCTGGGGTGCTGGGGACGCAGCCCCGCCGCCCCTATTTACAACAGATTGGCGCCCCACGTTGGGCACCAAAATGTAGCGGCGTAAACGAATGCAGACAGATTGTAAAAATATATATAGTTTTAATGTAAAAATAGACTTACAGAACCACCGTTCCCGCGGAGACCAGGAAAGCAGAAGAGACAGCTTGGAGCACACTCGCCAAATTTATAGGCAGACATTAGCCAGAGGCGAACACGCCCCCTAAGGGGCGGGACTTATCCCTACACGCCATGCTCCCCTCTCCTGGGCACACGCGATGGACGTTAGGCTAGAATCTTCCCAGTAAGCGCACCTTGAGGTGCTACACACATGATTGGAAATGGGCTAGTCCAGGTGCAAGAGTTAGCTGAGAAGAGGCTAGATATAATGGGCCAGGCAGTGTTTAAAAGAATACAGTTTGTGTGTTGTTATTTCGGAGCATAAGCTAGCAGGCAGCTGGGGTGCTGGGGACGCAGCCCCGCCGTTCCTATTACAACACATTCTGGCCCAAGCTCTTTATCTTATCAGATGTCTGAGACGCAGCCTTTCGTGTCCCATGAGATCACTGTCTGAGATGCAGCCCTTGGTGTCCACTGAGATCACTGTCTGTGACACAGTTCTCGGTGTCCAGTGAGATCACTGTCTGAGACTCGGTCCTCAGTGTCCAGTGAGATCATCATCTGAGACACAGGCCTCGGTGTCCAGTCCTCGGTTTCCAGTGAGATCACTGTCTGAGACACAGCCCTCACCCTCAGTGTCCAGTGAGATCACTGTCTGAGACGCAGTCCTCGGTGTCCAGTGAGATCACTGTCTCAAACATGGCCAGGCTTCGAGAGAAATGTTTAGACCACAGAGATGGGAAGCTGGAGGGTGACTGTGTTTCTCTGAGAGCCCAGCATCTTCCACTGTATTTATCTGACCCATCCAACCAACTGTAACATACACATTCACATGCACACACACTTAGGCTTGAACACGTATGTGTTCATATACATAGAACACACCCACGACCCTCCTTAGTAAACCTAGCCAAGCACAGATGTTTGGGACATCTCTGCCTCTTGAGTCAAACTGCGGCTGTTTCTCTATCTGCCCACAGCAGGCTTCTACTTACACAGAAAAGTCCCTCATCCCCTGCTGTCTCCTCCTGTGGGGCAAGGGACTTGGCAGGGCATCTAGCAAGAGCAGAGCCACAAAGCTGCTGCCTTTGGAAGGAGACAAAGCCTTTTCCGCCCCACTTGCATTCTCAAGTCAAAGGTGTTCTCAGGCCCCAGGGCAGCCAGTGCCTGCAAACCTGACAGGGGTGATCAGCCAGCAGAGCCAGACTTGGCTAGCATGCTGCAAGGCACCATCGCTGGCCATGGTTGTCACCTCCTGAGGATCCCTGAGTTCATTTTCATGTGGACGCTGGGAAGGCTCAGGACCTTTCATTCAACACAGTTTGGTTTACAAACTGATTTCCTAGGCCACTGTTCCATTGCTGACCTCACAAGGTTGCTTCATCTCTGTCTTGTTCCTCATCTTAGAGCACAATGATGATCCCTGGGAGGGTCAGTGACAATATCTATAAAGCGCCTCATTCCCCCACCATCTACCCAGCCAGTCAAATGCTCGTGGATACTGAGTACCTTCTGGGTTCCTGTCGCTGGGACAGAGCAATGAACTAAACAAAAAGCAAAAAAGATGAGGACAGCCAAAGGTTCACAAAACAAAACCAAGCAGGCTGCAGGCTGCAGCAGGTGCTGCCAAGAAAAGGGCAAGGAGGGGTTGAGGGAAAAGGCTTCGCGGTGTGAACTCAGGCAAGGACTCTCTGAACAGGCCTCCAACAGCACAGGAAATAATCCCAGGAACTGTCAACCAGGATTCCATGAAGTTAGGAAGCTTCTGCACAGAGACAGCCCACAGGATGGGGGAAAGCCACGTCCACCAAACATCTGACAGAGCTGGTGTCGAAAATACGGTGATTACCACAAAGACACCAAACCCCGAGTTCTCCGGTTAGCAAACGGGATGGTGAACTGAACAGACATCCCTCAAAAGAATAAACATAAGCAGCCAGTAAAGGTACCCGCCAAGGTGCCCCTGGCTGCCAGGGAGATCCAGAGCAGACTGCCCTGAGGAAGGGGAGCTCAGCTGGTAAAATGCAAGCTGTGCTCGCAGTCATGAAGTCTGGAGTTGAAAGTCCACACCCACAGGAAATGCCAGGCCTGGCAGGACAGGATCAGAATCCGCTAGGGAAATAGAAACAGGCAGATCCTTGGAGCTCCATGGCCAGTCAGCTTAGCCTAACTGATGAGCCCTAGATCCCACTGAGAAATGCCTGGTGGTGGTGGCACATACTTTTAATCCCAGCACTCAGGAGGCAGAGGCTGGCAGAACTCTGAGTTTGAGGCCAACATGGTCTACACAGAAGTTCCAGACCAGCCAGACTACACAGGGAGACCTTGTCTCTAAATAAATACACAGGACAACAAATGCTGCTGAGGATGTTGGAAAGAGGAACGCATCCTCGCTGCTGGTGCAGGGGAAACTGAGGCAGCCACCATGTACATCCGTATGGGGCTTCTCCAGTAAACTAAGCCTAGAATAGCTCCTCTGGGTGTATGCCCTCAGGACTCTAATCAAAATACCACAGAGATACTTGCACTTCCAAGTTCTGAAATAGTCAAGAAATGGAAGCAGCACAGAAGTTCACGGATACTGAATGAATGGATGAAGAAAGCATGGTCCATATATAAATGAAATTCCATACAGTCATAAAGAAAAATGAAACAATGACATTTGCAGGAAATGGATTCAATTGGCCTGGAAAAATAACTCACATTCCCTCTAAATTTAAAATTCTGCCTGTGTGTGGTGTGTATGTAAGTATGCTTATGGGTGCAAAACTAGAAAGAGGCCTTGAGAATAGAGGAAGAGACTTAAAGGAAATGAGAAACAGAGCCAGTAATGAATGGAATATTCTAGAAAGCAGAATAGAGGAGGAGCTGGGGAAAGGAGAAGCGGCTGGAGGGGGAAGGGGAGCCTGTCTGAGACCAGAATGTAGTAATGAAAGCTACATATGAAGAGTCCATAATGGAGCCCCATCATGTGTATGGTGACCTCAAAACTTAATTTAAGAGAGGGAGAAAGTTCCAGGACAGCCAGGATTGCTACACAGAGAAACCCTGTCTTAGAAGGGAGATGGACACCAAACCACACGAAGACACAGACACCAGCGGAACCTGCTGAGTGGAAGAAATCTCTGGAAGGCAGCAGCAGCTCTGATGGCTGCCATCTGGGAAGGGCAAAGCTAGAGCAATAACAAAATTATGGGTTCATCAAGTATCGGAGTGGTGGAAGAGGCATGGTGGGTGCAAGCCAGGCACCTGAAAGGGGCAGTTAAACTGTTCCATGTGATGTCATAAGCAGCCACACCTGACATCCATATTTCCCAAAAATACAGAACCACAGAAAGCAAAGAACGCACCCAGACGTACACCTGCACCTTCCATACTGGCTGGCCAGTTGGGACGAGTGGATCACACTGTGACAAGCTACATGACGCAAGGGCCCCTGGGAACTTTCTGTTCATTTATCCATAAACCTGAAACTTCACCAATTCTACTTTGCCAGTTGATGCCAAAGCAGGTGGGGCCAGGACAGAGGTCCGCGGTAGAGGTTCTGGAGTGCTCATGGGCCTGACGTCCTAGGCCCAACACTGAGAGACCCAAATATACCGGGGGCCTGCTTAATTCTGACCTTGGAATTTTGAGCTCAAATCCCAGGAACGGGTAGGAACTTATGAGGAACATTCCAGGGCATGGTGGGGATGGCACACCGTGCATCCCGGAACATCCCTGCTGCTGGCTGGCGTGTTTATTATTCTTCCGTGGCTGTGACTGAGATGCATCTTAGGGAACAACCTATGGGAGGAAGAGTTTTAGCCTCCCAGTGCCAGAGGGTTTGTCCATGGTTGCTTGGCCCCATGTACTTGAGCAGAACTCACGGTGGTAGGAGTGAGTGGCAGAGGAGATTAGTCACCTGTGGGAGACAGGAAGTAAAGAAAGAGTAGGGGGCCAGAGGGACAGGTATAGTCTTCAAAGGCATGCTTCCAGTGACCGGATTCCTTCAGGTGGGCACCTCAGGTAGGAAGCTGACGTTTCCAGAACCCATTAGCAGGAGACTAGGCACTCCACACAAGTATCTGTGCTGTGTGGTGTGGGAGGGGAGTCACATTCACAACACGACAACCAAAGAGAAGGCTGGGTTTATTTTACTCGATGAGGTAAATTTTACAAGTAGCAAAATGCATAAACCTTAAGATTTAAGGCTTACATTTAAGGTTTAAGGTTTTTACAGTTGACTACATATACATGTATCAGGATGGCGAGCACAGTTGTCGGACTGATAGCTAGCTATATTACCCTCTCTGATGGTGAAAGTTTGGGAGCTGGGTTTTCACGGGAAGACATTTCATCATGGTGCCCAGGAATAAATTTGGATCAAGGCTGAAATCTAAGCACCACCACTTTCTACTCATGTCTCCCCACTTCCCTGTGTCTCAGTTTCCCCATACCTGAGAGAGAATTAAATCTACATCCTGGGGCTGTTTGAACTCAGAGAGCCTGGGCATGGAAGGTCCTCCGTGTGCTGGCCCCGTGTAGTTTCCGAATGAAGGTGTGGTGAGCAGAATGGCTCTTGCCATCCTTTGTGCTCTGGGTGAGCCTCCCCAGGTACCATGAGTTCTCTGACAGCATCTCTCTGCCCACAGGGATGTGTCTCCAGGCATTTGTTGAGGCTTTCTTCTTCCTGGCCCAGAGGAAGTTCAAGCTGTTGCCTCTACATGAGCAGGTGGCCTCCTTGATCGACCTGTGTGAATATCACCTATCTCTGCTGGATGAGAAGCGCTTGGTGTGTGGCCGGGGCCGGCGCCCCCAAAGTAGTCCTCAGGAGACCAACCCCACAACCCAGTCAGCCGCAGGCAGCCCTGCACCCCGCATAATCGGTGCTAATAAGCTGCCTCACTCTAGACACGCTCTGTCCTGAAGGCCCCATGCTGTCCTGGAAGAAGGTGTGCGCTCGGGGGCTGAGTACCCTGTGCTGCCCTGATCTGTGGGGAGCCACCAGGGTCCCAGCTGCAATGGCCGGGAGTCCTCTGTATTCTGCAGGGCTCTCACCTCACATGGCTAATTCTTGCCCACCCTCCTCCCAGCGCCTCATGACCCACCCTGTTTGTGAGTCATCAGTAGACATATGACATCTGAACTGTGACAGGTGGCACCTATTATTCCGGGTTCCCGGGAAGCACCAAGTGGGCAGTTCTTTCGTGCTTGGGGCCACAGAGGAGTGGAGGATGGGAGAAAGGACAGACCATCTCAAAGCGAGGAACCGTGGGTGCAAGTTCACACCTGCGGTCTGCTGGGGCCTCCGCGAGCCTGCTGGTCAGAGCTCAGGTCGAAGCATCGCTTTCCTTCCACCTGTCCTCTGAAAGAAGTAGAATATCAAGATGGCGGACACCCCAATCATGTGCTATATGGGTGTACTTAACAGAGTAACCACTTATTTCATTAACTTGCCTGTCGCTGCAGTGATTGATTTATTACTAATTAAGAAATAACAAGTTCTTCAGTCTCCCCATCCAGGTTCCAGGGGAACCCTGCAAAAGTGGGGTGCTGACCCAATGTCCAAGAGCTGCTGCAGATGCACCCGGCACTGTGCTGTCAGCGCCGAGGGGAGAACGTAAGGCCCAGAGGAGAGGCGGGATAAGAAGTGTGTGCAGAGGGCATGGGGGCCTGGACCTGAGCAATCCGTGTTCTCAGATGCTCTACTGTGGGGATCCTTGTTGACCACCCGTGCGGGAGCTGTACAGGGCCTATTAAACAGAGCTTTAACTTGACACATTCTCAAAATGAGTCTTCAGAAAGTGCTTGCCAACATGGAGCCGAGGGGAAACGGGTTCAAAGGTAGAGCTGCAGCCATGTTGAGGTGATATAAAAATGCCAGCACCCACGGTGAGAGATGGCCTCTCTATGGTGCACAGTCATCTAGAGGTAGGTCACCATTGGTCCTCTGGTTACAGAGCCGCTCAGCCTGTAGCACAAGCCTTGGGAGGCTCCACACCCCTGGGGATTTGACTCTATAGTGATGATTGGGGAAGCCCTTTGCGGACAAGTTGCCCCCCAATACTGTCAGAGTGCACACTAGGAGACTTCTGTCCCCACCCCCGTTTCCCAGAGACACTGCTACCTTTACTCACTTTGTGACCAGCCCCTCACTTTTTGCAAGTTGTGGCTGAGATGAAAGTAATCCGGCTGGCTCCTTCCTCCTGCAGGGAAGGAGTAGCCAGAGAGCCCATCCAGGCCCAGGGACCTCTGCTGAGTGCTGCAGGCTCTGTGACTGGCTGGGGTCTTAGTCTCTTCTGTAGAGGCCCCCTGAGAACCATGGCTCCCAGGGAGGTCCCAGCCTTCAGACTGGACTCAGCTTTTCATCTGGTGGAGGCTGGGACCGTGACACTCCAGCCTAGCCAGGAGTCTACAAGGACATAGTGGGCATTCGAGGATCCAGTGGAGCTGTTAAAATGCTGGTCCTGCCAGATGCCCACCCCATCCCACCTCTGGCAGAGCAGGGCCTCCTGGCGGCCTGGTGGGGGCTGTGTGTCTCCCCTTATGTTATCCCAGGGAACTCCCTGTCTTCTTCTTAGTCATCTTCTTTAGCCCTCAGCAAGTCTTTCCCAGATAGAGCCATGCCTCTTCCCCCATTCCCTTTGGCCCCTCCCTCCCTCCCTTCCTAGCTTCTGGGAGGGAGCAAGACTTCCAGGGAGCCCACAAATCCCTGCTGAAAGTGTCCCCAGTCAAGGGCCTTGAGATCAAACTTCTCCCTCTCTTCCCTAGGACCCGCAAAGACCCCATAGGCCTGGTTTTACCTTCTGGACTCCTAGTGCTCCTAGAACCTGTGGTCAGGGAAACAATGAGCCACTGGCAGGAAGACCCTGGCAGGCCGCTGCCCCCAACTCCCCACCCTGCACTTGCTGCTACCACTACTTGATCCAGTCAGAGCCCTCTGGCCAATAGCAAACAACTTCTGGAGAGGCTCGGTTCTAGAGCCCTGCTGCAGCTCACCCCAGCCCATTCCCTTCCCCCTCACAGAATGGATTGCCTCTTCCATATATGCCCAGGAATGCAGAGAGTCCCCTTTGCAGTGCTTACCCGTGGGAACCCAGCTGTGTCTTCAGGGCCAGCATGGACTGTTGGATCCAGGTCAGCTGCTAAGGGGCAGAGATGCTTGCTGAAGTGGCAGGAAAGAGCAGTTCTAGGTGAGGAGACACGTGCCCTCTCTCCATGTGGATGCCATTAGGAACAATGGTTTTCTAAGCTTCGCCAAGCTATTTAACTGAACATCCCCAGATTCCCAATTGGCTGATCCCGTTCCTGGGCATGGTAGCTGTCCTGTGAGCCCAGGAGTAGACAGCGGCTTTTCTGATCCTCGAGTCTCTCCACAGCCAGATTCCACGTGACCATCAGCTCAGGACCTAGGCCTATCCCTGAGCAGGTACCCCCTTTCCGTTAGCCCTGGACTCACCCTGCCTCCCGTCTGCAGTCACAGCACACATTGGGAGACGGTGGTGTGCTGTGACTGCAGCTGGTCAGGAAGGAGCTGGACAGGTGTGTGAGAAACATTCCAGGCTCATTAGATTATTTGAGAAACTCCCTTTCTTGTGTGGATGAACCTGTTCTCAGTGCTCCACAGTTCAAAGGGATCTCTTCAATTTCTCTTACTGTCTGATCTTCCAAGCTGCCCAGTGAAACACAGGGACCATCACTAGTTCTGACACCTGTCCAGAGCCCGGTTGAGCAGACACGGCAGCCTGTGTGACAGGGAAGCTGCATGTTCCATCAGAGTACACCTGGGGAGTCTAGGGACTTGGAGCCTTCCAGCTTATTCTTCTGACCCTGAAGCCCATGAAGCCTGTAAGGACCCCAGGTCCTCAACCACCCAAATGTGGGTGATGTTTTCTCTCAGAATTTAGGGGACATTAGGCAAGATGATGACAAGCTTCCTTGAATGATGTTCATGGAGATGGACGAAGCCAAGGCAACCCCTGCTGCCTCTTATCCGCAGGCATCTGAAGACACTCACAGGCTGGGAAATGCCGAGCCTCAGATGTCTGGAGTCGGCCTCCCCTCCACATTCTCCCCTCCACGTTCATTCCTTGATTAGTTCCTTTATTCCTCAGCTCTGTGAGACTGGGCTGGCTTTGGGTGCCTTTTCTTGAAGCTCAGGACTCACGAGCCCTCGTCTGGGAGCTGTGTTCCCAGAGGCAGAGAGCTGCCCATGCTCAATGAGGGAAATTCACCAGTGGGCAGTGTAGCCTGAAACCTGCCTGACCTCCACTGATACTTCAGCCACTCTCCCAATTCAACTGATGAATGTGAATGAAAATTTCCTACAATTTCTCACAAAATAACCTTTTTTTTCTTGTTCTCAGCGACAAAGAAATTCTGCAGAATGCTTTCCAGTTGCCTCCTCTCATAACCAAAAGTCTTGCTTTCACTTTAACTGGAAAAAACACACTGCCTCTGTTTACACTGACACATGTGTACACAGACGGATGCACACACGCATGCACACGCATGCACACGCGTGCACACACACGCATGCACACGCGTGCACGCACACACGCATGCACACGCGTGCACACACACACAAGCACAAACACACACACTGAACTCTGCATAAAATGACAAAGTCACTAATGTTTTCCTTGTTTTTGGCTTTTTGCTTCCGAAAGTGATTTGGAAAACAGGCTCTTTGTGGCCCTGTGTCACAAACCCTGCTTACACAGAAGCACCTGGGAAGGCGGAGCGTTTGCATAGACTCGGGCCAGGGCTGTGGGCTGAAGGAACCATCCCGACTCCCCCAAGCCTCAGATGGGCTATAGAGATATTTTCCCACATCAGAATGGAGAAGCCAAAGGAGTCCCTGTCACCTCTGGAAGGACCAGGGGCTTTGGAAGTCTGATGTGAGGGTGAACTTGCTTGGCCATGGACGGGTGACTTTCCTCCCTGACACCCGTCCCTCTTTTGTGCAGCAGAGATCATGTCAAAATAGACCCAAAGAGCCTGGAATGAGACTTGGCACCTGGGAAGTGTCTTCATGATGTCTGTTGAGGAAAGGTGTGGTCTCCACGTGCTGAAATCAACAGATGCCAGGAAACACCGCTGCCATGGCAGCCAGGAGCCCTGGCAGGAGAGGCTCCTGGAAGTCAGCTGAGACCTCGCTTCCCCCTCCCCCTGCCACTCCCACCTCTTAAAAGCCTTTCAAAATTCTTTATTAAATTTTCATGGTGCATGTAGTCAAGGCTCTGTTACAGCCTCAGTTGTCTTGGTAACTTGGTAAAATGCAGTAATAAAATGAAGCTGAGTGTCGCTAACCACAGGCTTATGTATAACAGCTACAGAGTACTGACAGGGTTTGTGCATGTGGTAATTTCTGACAGCAAACCTGCCAGGGGGGACAATGTTTGTTCATTTTGGGTCAATTGGTAAGAAAAGGGCACCTTTTAATTTTCTTGCTTTTTCCTCCCCACATGGTTGATGTTTGCATGAGAGCTATTGACTCTAGGGAGCCAGGAAGTCCTGGGGGAGTCAGGGGAGGATTTGGGATATCCTCCAAACTCAGTCTGCTGGAGGAACAGCCTCTCAGCAGGGTGGGCCACCTGTCAGGGACTCTGGGAGGGAGTCTGTCCTGAGAGAGCTCCTCGAATGTGAAGTCACCTCATGTTGCTCCTCGCGAGACTGAAATGCCAAGGCCTCTCACCAAGGAGGCCACAGGAGTCCTACGGGTATACCTGGTGGCCACAACTCCTGAGAACAGGGCTCTCCCACTCCACCCCCACCCCCACAGACGCCTCTTCCCAGCACCCCCGCATCCCGCCCCGGGAGCAGCATATGTTCACTCTGAATATTTCCCAGACTGGGGCCCACCTGGTGGGAAGTGGGAGCAGATGGCCTAGAGTTAAAAATAAAGTGAGACCCCCAGCTCCTCGGAAGTCTCCACCCCCACCCCAGTGAACATCAGATCCCACCCACACATGCCTTCTACCCTACCATGCCAGGCTTCTGTGTCACCACAGGCCATGGCTTTGTCACTGCACTGTCTTTTGTAGAGAAACCCAGGCTTGCCTACCGGGAGACCCCCAGCTATGTGAGGAAGATGGTAGACGACCCGCAAAGTTACCCCAGGGTCTCTGGGGCTTGGATTTGAGATTGTCCAGACCAGGGAGGCTCTTCACCCAGCTGCCTTCCCCCAAACCTTGGGCATCCGGTATAGTCCCTCAGAGGGTCAGGCCCCACTTCTGTCTTTAATCCAAGCAGCTTCCCCATCATGTGAGCAGTTCACTGTAAAACTGTGCATGGTTATTCTTTTACAGAGGAGGGAACTCAAGGGGGATCCTTGTCCTTCTACCTCGCAGGTTAGGGGTGTGAGCTAAATCTCCTCATGAAGATCTCTGTTTTGGTCTACACAACCAGAATGACAGAAACTGGAGCCAGCTTTTAGGCCATCACTAAACGAACAGCCACAAGTCCACTGTCATGGAGGGACTCTATGACACGTAACTCTTAACTGTGTTGTGCATTTGCAGGTACACTAACAGCTGCACATCTGCACACACTAACACCTGCGCATCTGCAGGCACACTAACAGCCAGGCATCTGCAGGCACACGAACAGCTGAGCATCTGCAGGCTCACTAACAGCTGCACATCTGCAGGCACACTAACAGCTGCACATCTGCAGGTGCTAACAGCATACATGCACCTGCAGGCACACTAACAGTTGCACATCTGCACGCACTAACATCTGCGCATCTGCAGGCACACTAACAGCCAGGCATCTG